TCTCGCTTTATCCATTTATGTTTCTGCTCTGCCATAAATCCTCCCTGCAGCTCGCCGCCTTGCATCTGTTTATGTTGATTCTCCAGGTTCTCACAGAGCCGCCGCTCACATGGCGCTACGCTGCTTCTCATTCATCATCCGCCGCTGAAATAATAACCTTTGCATGTTCCCCAAACAGCACACTCGCGGGACTCGTGTTGTAAATTAAATTTCTGCGTTTCTGGCTGCCATTAGCTGCTGCAGTGATCCGATTCTCCTGCAGAGCGCCGTGAACGTTTCATCTGTTTGTTTTCACGTCTGACTGACGGAGACTCTCCGCATCCAGCCAAAGCCTCGAACCTCTCCTCCTCCTCCCAGGAAGCGCTGCGAGCGGCGGCTCTGATTGTAGTCGCAGAGCGAAACAACAGAACAGCGCCTGCAGCAACGTCTGGCATATTCAGGTCATCCCACGACAACCAGCCGGCGTCGGTACGCAGCAGCACCGACACCGTCTCACAAACAACGAGAGGTTCTGGAAAGATTCGTTCCTGGAAGATGAAAGCAACAGGAGGCTCCGGTTTGCATGATGAGAGCAGCAAAGTGGCTGAAGTTCAGTCGGCGAGGAGCGACGATCAGAGGAAACGTTTACACAAGAAACAAGCGCACAACGTTTATTTATTCTCTTGGTCCAAACAAACAAACAAAAAAGTTTTGGAAAAGCCCATATTTACCAAAAAAAGACAAACAAAACAAATAAAACAACTCACAAATGTTTGGCCTTGTGTCATATTATTGACATTTTATCCCAAAATTACAAAATTACATCAGAAGTAGTTTTGTTGTTTATTTTTTGTTTTTGAAGATGATTGTTTTTATTTCATAATTTGGGGACTTTTTTTTTTTAACATTTCAAAAATGTAATTGAATAATAATTTTTCTATGAAGACAGCTTTCATGTCAGATTTCATCATGAAACCATCATCATGAAAACCACTGATTTTCAGGACGATGCATTTTTATGTGCAAACAACTGAACTGAAATCAGAAACAACGTGCACAACATTTAAAGCCAAAACTCAGCAGGCGGTTGGAAAAGCATTTATTCTTTAAAGAATTCAACAAACTACACAATTTATCAGAACCCGAAGCAGGAAAAACTGCACATTTTCAACTTTCAGACGGTCCTTGAACTGCTCATCAGTTCAGCGGTGAAAATGGAGATGATTCATCACCGTCACGTTTTACACGCGTCATTTTAAACCAATCCACTGGTGGGTTTGGATGGAAACACGGAAACACAAACGGGCGACAACGCAACACAGTTGAAGCATCACAACAAAAACACAAAGACAGAACGAAGAGAAGTTGATGAAAAATGTGGAATTCTTCCAGAAACAGGAAACTCTGAGGAAGTAAACGTCGCTGCATGAACCCAGAGGGACGATAACCTGACGCTGCTCAGCTGATCGATAATTAAACACGACTTCAGCCATTAAACAACTGATGAAATTGTGAAAACAAATCTTCTGTGACTAAAAAAATATACATCTTATTAGACAAGCAAACAGAGCCTGATATTGATGCAGCTTTAAAACGTAGAAACTCTTGTTTCTGTTAAAACACGAGTCTGGCTGCAGGCTTCAGCTCAGAGGATTAATCCATCCATCACTCGTCAACCCAGCTGAACACTGAATGTAAATTTATTGATTTAACACAATTAAAAATCAATGCAGCGACATGACGCTGAAACAGCTTCACTGCAGCGATAATAAACGCCGTGAGATGGTCGGAAAGCCGAGTCCGTCCAAACCAATTCTGAGACACGACGTGAAGAAACGAGACAGTTGCAGCTTCAGCAGATTTAATTCAATATTAATCCAATATCAGCGTGCAGACGCCCGGACAGACTCGACTCCAGCAGCTCCAGCAGCAGCAGCAGCAGCAGGTCGGATTGATTTCCAGCATAAATAAATGCAAAGTGTGTCACAGTCAGTTAGGCAGAACACAGCCAGTCCTGATGAGATGTGAGCAGCAGGAGGCCTGCAGACAAATCAGGTCAGTGGTCAGGTACAAACTGGGCCACGGACTCGGTTCAGAGCAGCAGACGCACTAATAAACCCTCTGACCTCCACGTCCGGCACTCTGCTGCACACACACACTCCGATGTGCTGAAGGTCACAGCAGCAGACGCCTCAGTGATCCAGGAAGAAACCGGCCGACCTACAGTCCGGCTGCTGTGGACACAATACCAGAAACACTGTTCGGCAACTCACCAGACCGCTGCTTCAAAGAGATGCAAAGTGACAAACTCAGAGACATCAGAGAGCAAAAACGACCTCAAAGAAACCGAAACCGACGGCAACGGGGTGCAAAACTTCCACAGAAACACAAAATGACCACAGAATGATTTAAAAAAAAACAATCCTAAATAGGAGAGACTGCCCCCTGAGAGACCAAAAATGATCATAAAGACAGACAAAGCAACCACGAAACGATAAAAAAAAACCAACCCTAAAGAGGCAACAAACTACCTCAGAGATGCCAAAGAGACGCAAAATGACCACAAAGGAGCCACAGATAACAAAGGCATTACAAACTACCACAAAAAGACAGAACTAACCCTAATTAGACAAAAATACCAACATCGTAGAGTAGAAACAGGACACCAAGAGACCAAAAACAACCACAAAAAGATAGAAAACAGACAAAAAAATGACATCGTAGAGACATAAAACTTGCTATAATTACACTAAACGACCACAGGGAGATAAAAAGAGGCAAAA